AAAAAAGGGGTCATTAACCCTTCCCCTTCCTTTCCGCTTTTAAATCTCTCAGTTTGAACGCTCCTGAGTCGCAGAAGTTAAAACTGATGCAGTTATAAATCACGGCAGTGTTCACTAGAATAGTGTGTAACGAAACAAACAGAAAAATACCGATTCAGAGCCGTTATCAAATCGGAGATTGCCAATTGGCGCCAACAAGTGCCCACGCCGAATCGGACGACGACGATATGCCGGACCACTTCTGGTCGCGTTATCAACCAACATTTGGGTCACGTCTGCAAAATTATTCAGTTTCGCGACCGCGGAATGAGCGCAGTAAAAAGCTAATGAGATTACCAATTCTGGCGAAAGGCGGCGTTCTCGGCTCTGACAGTACGTCACTATGTTCAGCAATCCTTTCAGTCAAAATTTTTCTGGTTTTCGAAGTTGGACGCGGTGTTCCGCCGCTCTTCAGATGATCGAAAGCATAGCGCGTTATGGGCCCAGCGGGAGCCACATTCAGTCTGGTGTCATTTTTCGCTTGCTTATTGCCTCTTTTCACCTTAATTTTGTAAAATTATTAAAATCGTTAGTCACCTCTCACTATGGCATATTAATTTATTTGAAAATTCAAAACAAACCATTTCAAACGTATGATGCGTCGGCGATTGCTGAGTGGCTGTAGCATTCTGAGGTGTGTTCAAAGTGCTTGAGGCATTTCGAGGTATCTTCGGAGTACATGAAGCATTTCGAGGAGTCACAGGAACATTCGAAGTATTTCGAGACGCCATCGAAGTACTTGAGGAACTGCAAAGCGTCTCCAACGTGCGTGACGCACTGATAGGTGTTTTTGTATTACCTGAGGCAATTCGAGGTGTTTTCGGAGCGCATGGAGTACTGAAAGACGCCTCAGAATTGGCTGAGACATTTTGAGGAGTTTTCGGAGTGTTTGAAATAATGCGAGGTGTTTTCGAACTGGTTGAGGCATTTCGAGGTGTTTTCTGAGTCTGTGAAGCGCTATGGGGCGATTTAGGAGTGCACGAAATGTTGCATGGCGTCACAGAAGTGCAAGAAGCATTCAGAGGCAGCAGTGAAATGTCTGGAGTGTTTTCAGTACTCCGTTCTGCGCTATCCCGCGAACGTGTTGATATTGTCGTTAAATCTCTATCGTGTACAGTGCTTTGCTGAAAAAAAAAACGTGGATTAAAATGCTTACAATCACAAATATTTTTGGCCATTGATGAGCGTCAATTCAACG